CCAAATTGATTATTGGACACCATGCTTATCACCGCCGGCTTGATTTCGTAACGGTTGGCAGTAATTCCCTGCACCTGAATGCTATCATACTCTGAAACGTTTGGTGTAAGGAATTCTGCAATGGTCTGACGCTGATAGAGTGGGTTATTGTGCGGTACATATGGATTGGGTGGAGGTGCCTGATGTCTAGGCTGGGGGGCTGGTTGTGGCTGAGTAGGTGGGACTTGGGTTTGATTTTGAAACTGATTGGGGTATGAATTTTGGTACTGGGTCTGATTTTGGAATGTAGGTTGATTGATGGGAGGTGGGTTCTGTCTCCGTTGGAAAACGGGAATACTCTGCCTTGCTCCTTGCATCCCATAAACTTGATTTTGAAAATTGGTTTCAGGAGCAGTAGGGGTATTTTGAAACAAATGATATAATGGAGGGAGATTGAATTGTGGTGAAGGCTGATTTTGGGAAAAGATCAGAGTGCGGTAATTTTGAAAACCTGGAGGGTTTCTAGGTGAAATTGGTGGTGAAGATTGGGGTGACGTGTTCACATAGAAATCTTGCTGAGATCTGGGGTTAGGGTTACCCGACATCCCTGCGGTTCCAGATGAAGACTGGTGGTCCATGTTATTATTTTTCTTTTGAGCCTTGCGGTTTTGTCTGGCGAGCTTTTCAATCTCAAGGTTAAGAGGGATTAGCTGTTCTCCCCTCTTAGAACGTGTATGCATAAACAGAGCTGACCTGCAAGGTTAGCAGAAAAAAATCCTACGAAAAACTAAAAACTAATCGCTGAGTAAAATTAACCCTTAAGACCGACACCGTCCCCGGCAACGGCGCCAAAAACTGATGTGAGTTTTCTCGCACTTAAAAAGATTGTAATATAGCGGTGAAAGTACGAGTATCGTCTCCACAGGGACGGTAAAAGGGAATTAAGAATTAACTAAAATAAGCGATAAAGAATAAATAAAACAAATGCGGTCATGCGAGAATTGATTGCTTTAGAAAACTAAAATTTCAAATAAATTACTAAAAGTAAATATTTGGGTTCTTCTTAATTAACGACGAAGGGAACAAGGATTGATTCCGGGGTAATCAGATTTCTGGCAGATCAGGCTTAATTACATGAATTTAATTTAATTGAGCCTACCTAATCAATACTAAGTTCTTACCGCTCTCGCGGCGTAGAATACAATAATTTAGGGGACCAGGCTGATCTCTCATGCGACAGGATCGTAAATTATTGCCAAGACGAACGAGCTTACGGCCCCTTAATCGCTACTAATCTCTTAGCGAATGATTAAGTGTGTGTGAATGTGTCCTAGAACAAATTAGATCTCTCTTAATTTATTCTATATGCAATTGTAATTCTAGTGGCCATTCTAGGTTACAAAAGATATCAATTAAATTATTCAAACAAAAATTAAACGGCAATCATGCAATTTACACCATCAAGAATCTAGCCATACATCATGATTAACCCCTTCATCAATCCCAAATCCCTGATTAAACTACTCACAATTCATAATTGAAGAATCAACAGAATTGGGAAGAATAGAATAAATTGTCATTAATTAAAAAGATGAACTTACAAATAATCCCAGAGTCTTGGAAGAAAATAGCGTAAAAACGGTGTTAAATTCTTCCCTAGGCCTCTCCGTAATGTTTGCCACCCTAAAAAGGGTTAGGGAGGCCTTATTTATACACAAGAGGGGAAAAATCACAATTCTGGTCGATGTGGGAAATTTCCGCGCGTAACTCGGGGCTACGCACGATCGTGCGTAGCAGGCAGTAGCTCCTCCACGGTTTTGGCTCTTACGCACGATCGTGCGTCCGTGTTATTCAGCCTTTTCTATAGTCCGAAGTTGACAAAACTTCCAAAGTTTTAGATAATGAAGTCCTCTATCCATCCCAACTTGCCGAATGTGATTTGAATCACCCAATCAAGAGATATGATCAAAACGGTGGAAGGTGTCATTCTGAAATCGCAGCAGAGATCATCTGACTTCGTCATCTGTTTTCACCTTCTTGCTCTCCTATTCTCGTAATGGTTTCTTCATATGATTTGTATCCCTTGAAGTTGTCTTTCATATACAACTTGAATCATGTCCATTAGTTGTTTCTACAAAGAGATATTCTTGAATGATTGACAGAAGGTCATCCTGATCGTCGTTTTCAAGCTTCATTCATCTTCTTTTGATCCCGAAGCCAATCCTAGAGCTCTTTTGTCATCAAATCTTCATCGTAAACCTCCCGCTGACCTCCATAGCTCTCAAATCAATCTCAAATGCTTTTCAACTCATCCCGATTTCTCCTCAATCGCCAGTGCCGAACTCTAAAATCCTGATTTTGACTCCAAATGACACAAAACTCGAACCAATGCCCGGTAAACATAACTTGAGCTAAAATTGAGACTTGTAACACCTTAAAGCTAGGGAAAACCATCAAACCCGATCCCAACACGCATCAAATACATGTCTAAATACGGACTTATCAACCATCATATCATCCCCCCAAATCAAAGATGAAGTCATGAAGCCACAGATACTAACTGTTTTCTTAGCCGAAGAAGATATTTTTCCGGTGAGCTTTGCCTTCCGGTGGCCGAGGACGTAGGCAAATCTTCATCTCCATGTTAACCAACAGCACATCTGGTTCATATCCGTAGGTCTCAAACCCCACCTTTTCGCACCAAATCCCCATGCCAGACCCATTCACCTCCGTTACACACCCCCATCTCAAGCTAGTATCTGGCATTACTAACTGTCAGCGACGGTGACTCAGCACTTTCTGGCGAGATCTTAAACCATTGGACAACATCCAGTAAACCATGCTCCATTAGATCCAAGAACGAATTACAGTAACGAGAATCAAACTACCCAAGAGAAAGGGCAATAACAATTCAACCTAACAGCCTCACAAATACCACCGAAGTGGTGGAGGAGTTTTCCAAAAATGACCATAGCACCTAGCTAGGAGGGCCCCGGCGGGGCCGCCACCGTGAGTGGTGGTGCCGACCTGAAAAAGAACCGGTGGGGAAGAATCTGGCCGCGAATGGCTAGAGAGAGACACTCTCGACTTCCCAACCCCACTTAGCTCTTTGGGAGTGCCTGCTATAACATGTTTCATTATATCACTAGAGGCAAAAGAATAAATTAATGGAAAGTCCCTGAAATGGAATTAAATAAGTAAGGAATGAAATTGCCAAATCAGTAATATGCAATTCCAAAATTGCTGAGTTTGGAAAATTATGTCATATTTAAAGTCTGATATTGCCAAATCGTGGCAATAATTACTTTTACTTTGAGAATAAAAGCATGCCAATTATATTTTGAAACTTATAAAAGTTTTTAATCATATTTCGTGCAATTCCTCATAAACTATTGGATTCTTCCTAGTGTGGTTATGTTCCTTACTGATTTCATAATATTGAGGGAGATAAGTAATTTATCAAAGCTATGTGTATTGAATTTTCGTTAACAACGTTTCTTCTCTAATATTTTATCCCTTTACTGTGTCCCAATTAGTCTTTCAAAGCTTTGAAATTCCATGTGTTATCGATATACATGCACTAGGGACAATTTGGTGATATTCGTCATTCCTCAAATATGACTAAAACAGTGAAAAAATGCACAAATAGAACCTTCATATTTTATAGGACTAAAAATGAACATACTTTACAAAATTACCCTTAATGAATTTGTAAATCTATTTACAATTAAAATGAAATGAAGACTTTCTAAAACCCTAATTTCCACAGCCGCATCGAGCATTCAAGGAGTCATTATCCCCACTTCAATTCCTCTGCCGCCACTTCAATCCTGCTGCCGCCACTTCAATCCTGCCGCTGCCACTTCCAGGAATGTTACGCCGGGCACCATCGCCACCATCACTTCCGGCTTAGCAATGCCGACCCATCGCCGTCGTCGCTTCGAGCACCACCGATGCCGATTTTGATGAAAAAATGTCATGTTGCTGCAACAAAAGGGACATTTTATTAAAAATGAACATAATATTGGCAATTCCTTTAATTAAATTTAGCAATTTATCGAAGAAAACAATATTTTTATGTCATATTTTATTTAAAAAGAACATAATATTCACAATTCCTTTAATTAAATTTGACAGTTTGTCAAACAAAACAATATTTTTTTGCCATAATATCAAATGCAAATCTGCCATAGAGTTGACACTATTTTCAACTCGATGTGAAAATACAAAATTTCTGCCAGAACATTTCACACGAAAATGCCAAATATTTGGCAAAGCAAGAACCCAATATCCAAAATCAGCAAAACCAAAGTTTAAACAGAAATCGGAAATTTATTAAAATCAGAAATCATAACTACGAAATCAATGCCCAGAAAAGAGATAAATCGATGACAAAACTCAAAACTTGAATGAAATAAAAAAGTTCTACCAAAACCAATAAAATCAGTGATAATTTGATTTTTAAACGAAAAACGGAGAGAAGAAGAAGAACAGAGAAGAAGAAGCAAACCTAGAAGAAGGGAAGTGGTGATGGAAGCATTGCAGGACGGCGAGAGTGAAAGAAGGGGGTCTTGATATGGAGAACCAATGTCTTGACAGTAGCATTGTCTAGGGTTTGATACTCCCTCCGTCCAATAAAAGTTAGCCAAATTTCCTTTTTTAGCCATCCCGAAAAAAGCTTGCCAATTCCATTTAAAGTAAGGAATATGTGTCTAAAGTTATTTCTCTCTCCTCTGCACAAATTTCAACCACACAATTTTTACTTTATTAATCTACGTGTAAGACAACTTTGGCCAAGTTTTTTGGGACGGATGGAATATTATATAAAAGGGCATTATGATTATCCGGAGTCTTGTGGAATTAAAAACATGTAGTCCTATTTAGGGAATTAAGTTTAATTTTAGTCGACAATTACTATTTTCGTTAATCCCTGATTCTAAGATGATCCCCTTTTTTACTGTCGATCTTATTTTCGTTCAGTTTAGCAAATTCACTGTACCGATCTTGTTATTTTGCTTCAGACTTCACTACACTCGAGTTCTATTGGGTTCAGCGCCATTGGAATTCCACGTCCAGATAGACACTGGCAGTGAAATTTCATGGGTCAGTTGTGCATCGTGCAATGGCTGTCCACTATCTAGCGGATTTCTGGTATAATTGCAGTCTTTTTTCCCTTTTCAATTTCCCAGAATTTAAGTTTGCTGTTATCATTAAATTAAAATTTGACTGACCTAAATTTCTTTTGCAGTTCCACCTTCAATTCTTCAACCCGCAAGGCTTCTCTACATCTTCATTTATCCCATGCTCGGATCATCGGTGTGCGTCCCACAACCCTGGATGTTCAAGCAGTAATAATATATGCAAATACAACATTACATATGGAGATGGTGGGGAGATAGCAGGTTACTACATTGCGGACAACATTCATTTGGTTATGATTAATGGTAATAAATCTGCTTCAAATGTGATCCCCATTGTATTCGGGTGAGCCTTTTATTGTTTTATGTTTAACCAATAAATTTCGATATTCCGATGTTACAAGCTTTTCAATTGGTAGTATTTTGTTTACGGCGTAAGTTGTGATATGACAGGTGTAGTACTTATCAGCTCGGATATTTGACACAAAGCAACCTAGCACTTGATGGGATCTTCGGGTTTAATCGAAATAAAATGTCCATTATCTCGCAGCTCTCCTCCGAAGGTGTCGTCCCAAAAGTATTCTCCCACTGCCTAAAAGGTGGAGAGGGCAATTTTTTTTGTGCTTGGTGAGGCAGTCGGGTTGAATCTCATGTGGACTCCCCTCGCTCCACCCAAGTATGTATCTTGTTCCTTCAATTTCATAAGCTAGATGTTCCTTTGAGATTCAAACATGCACTCGTGGTTTACTCTCATGTGTACAAAATGTTCATTATCACCTTTATACTACGTATATAATTATATTTTTCCTTTATTAAGAGTGCTACCCAACCTCAAATGAGTGGCACACTATTAAGAGTATTACTCGACCTCTATGAATGTTTACTTTTGTCTAAATGACATTTTATGGTAGCGCATGTCCTTTCCAGTAGAGCTAGATTATGAGAAATAGGTGTACACCCACTACTACAAAAAATACTTTTTGAGTCGCATATAAAGTTATAAACTTCCTTTACGCATCGCTTTAGAAGCGATGCAAAAACCACCGATGCATAAAGTAACGTGTATATTGCATCACTCTTTAAGCGATGCAATAACTAACTTTACACCTCGCTTATTTTAATGAGGCGACTCTAAAAGTTTTTTTTCACATTTACTATATGCATCGCTTTTAAAGTGTAGGCTGACTCATAAAGTTTTTGTTTAAAATGAAATGAAGTGGAGGGGGGAGGGGGCTACTGGCCTAATGCTAATGTACCTCCAAGCTCCACCGAAT